TGGAAGTAGATTGCCCAACCTTCCTTCCGAGGAGTGGCTGGCGGTTTTGAACCACTAGCCTTCTGGTTAGCAGTCAAATGCCTTAGGGAATATGTTTGAAAAATGCAAAACAGTTTTCAGGCGTCAAACTTAATTTGATATGTTACAGAATGACAAACTTTTCTTAAAATAAAGCATATTAATTTAAAGAGTAAAACATTACCACAGAAACAGTAAGTAAAAGAGAAAATAGTTTAAAATTGTTGTGCTATCTGGATAGTGTCAGACTTGATAAACACAAAAGCCTTTTAAAAACCACAAAGATATGTAGAACTTACAACATAAATCCAAAGATTTTTGTAAGATAATATCATCATCATAATAATACCATAAGCCAAATTAAAAGACAACCACAAACTATGGAAAATAATTGAGGGATTTTCTAGACAGAAGATAAATAACTTCCATATAAAACACTATGGAAATTATGATGATTTCAAAAAATAATGAGTCAATGACATGAATGGAGTATTCACAAAGAAGAAATGAAAAAGCTACTAAATTGAAGAAAAAAATTCGATATTATTATAATATCATTTGATACCATTAAGTAAAATGAAAACAATGAGTGATGCATTTTCACCTGGGAAAATAACTAAGATTTTAATAGCAGCAACCATAACAACTAAAAATTTTATTGAATATTTAACACCTGATAGGAATTATTTTCAGGGTTTTATATGATTATTTCTTCCTAATAACATTATGAGGTAGGTACTATTAATTTCATTTTACTGATAAGAAAATTGAGGAACAAAAAGGATAAGTAACTTGTCCAAATACACACAATTAATATGTGGCAGAATTAATTAGCTGCATAAAGAGAGTGCAGAGAAAAAGACTCATTTATACAATGCAGTATGTAGGAAAATTGGTACAATTTTGTGTAATAATTTGTTGAAATATAATAGAAGATTTAATATAGTCGTATGCTTTGACCCAGCTCTCAATAGTATAGGAGAGGGAAAAATTTTCCTTTTTACTAGTACCTTCTTTTCCATGAGAAGAATGGGTAGGGTCACTGTGTTTTAAAAAGTCACAAAGTTCTATTTCCTTTTTTCTTCATGGAACAGGACTGGCAAGTTAAATGAGGTTCCCTTTAAGAACTTTACTTGCTCTCTTGCTCTTGAACCATGCTTAGGTGCACTCATCATCACTTTGTTCTTTTATAGCATTTCATCAGCCAGAGGTATTATGATAATAAAGTATGGATTTAAGCTGTTGGGGAGGTTGAAGTTTAAACTGGGTCATGTACCTCAATCTGAATTTATCAGAGCTATAGCATAGTGGCTAAGGCACTTGACTGCTAACCAGAGGGCTGGCGGTTCAAACCCACCAGCCACTCCTCGGAAGGAAGGTTGGGCAATCCTACTT